CCTGCTGAATTTCATGCAACCATGGCCTCCTACCCCCATCACCAGGCATCTAAGGACAGTAAAATGCATCAGTTTCCCACAGCTTTGAGGCAGAGGCTCTCTGGGAGAAGGCAGCACCATTATTCTAGTCCACTAACCCTCTTCTGCCTTTCTCTATGTACTATAGGTGAGATGAAGGGGACATGCTGCTTGTTAGTCTACTGTGGCAGCCACTTTCTTTTCTCTTAATCCTTGTTCACTTGGACTTCAGAAGATTGAGCCGGACTTTAGAAGTGGCACCTGTACCCTTCCTGGCCCTTTGACTGGTTTGGACTCAGAGGAATATGGTTTTCTCCATTCCAATGAATGGCAAACCTGTGGTAGAGGCTTTGTGACACCTTGCCTGAAAGACAAAGAACGACTGCTAAAGCTGATACACAGTTTAATTACTGGTTTAAAATAAGATATGATTTGGCAGAAAACTCATGCTTCATGCTATTCTGGAAAACAGTAAATGCCACCACATTTCCTGTTTTACCACACATTGTTATCTGAAAGATCATAAATAGCTCACCCAGTAGGAGGTTAGTGCAATTTCAAACCCAAAAGCTGTGGTCTGTCTTCGGACCCTGGGAGGCATCACACATGCTTAGTGCTTTCCCTAAGTACCACACCTCCCCTCTTCTTCCATTTTCCACTTTGCTCCTGGAGCTTTTAAGCCTTTTTGGGTGTGTCCAGACAAGCATGCATGTACACTTGCCTGGGTAAAAATAGCAGCAGCACATAGTTGTACCACTGCTACTTGTCACTGAGGAATGCCTGCGCACACACGCTCTGACACGCAGCAAGTTACCTGGGGTGCGGTAGGAGAAGCTGGGGCCAGCACTTGGGCTGGTCCTGGTAGCTTTACCTAGGATCCTGCGGGCCTCCCAGGGCTCCAGCGGTGGCTATCCGACATGTGGAGCCTGGCTGGCAGCTGGAGTGTGCCTCCAGAGGGCCAAGGTCCAGTTCTGGGTGGTACACACTGCTCCCACATGTGCCACCCAACTTTTTCAGGCATGGATTTTTTTTACATCAGTTTCTTCCACTATTATAAACCTATTGTGCTGCTAACTAGCAGCATGGTGAACACCTGCATGTGCAGCAAATGCAGTTTGCAGGGCTGTAGACAGGTCTGTGGCCCTGCATACCACACTTGCACACTGGTCTGGACATGTCCTTTGTGGCTTCACCTTAATTCCCTCCTCAGTTACAGCTGCCGTCAGCCTTCTATCCAGGCAGACTCTTAACTCTTAACCTGCAGCTGGGTCTCAGGCTCAGCACCTCCTTTAAAAGCTGTTGTGTGGGAGTAGAGTCTAAAGAAAGTCCTCATCCCCATCATCCTAGATCTCTGCTCCCCACTAACTGCACCCCTCAACCAAGGCACGTCCCTGTAAGAGATCTGAAAATTATTATTTTTAATTGATCTCAGGTGTTCATTAGACAACAGCAATAAATATATATCTTAAATAACTGTATGTAATCTTATTGCCTTCCCCACTCATATACTTTGTGCCTTATGGGCGGTCAACATTTTACTAGTTAACCATTTTCCATGAAAGAAGCAAAACCCACTCTTCTTAACTTGTAGACAAAAAATCCTATACTAGCTGTGCTATACAGGCAGTCCTCGACTTACAATGTTTCGAGTTACAACATTTGGCACTTACATTTATAAATTGACACCCTGTTTCAACTTTATGATGTCAGTTTTGACTTTACAATGCTTGATCCAATGCGACACTACAGCAGGGAATAAATTCGCTGCATCGCTCATCTCCCTGGAGAACATCTGTCCAAACTTCCTTGGACACTTTCTTTAAGAAAGCAGACAAGACTCCAGAAAAATTCTGGGTATTTTTGGTGAAAATAGGGTATTGGGCCTTGGTTCAGGAAACAATCCCCCATTTATAACTTTGTTTCTTATGAGAAAATTGGTTCCAAGTTACAAGACGCAGTTTTCAAGAACCAATTGTTTCGTAAGTCCGAGGACTGCCTGTATACCAACATGAAGCAAACTTAAGTACAGCCCCAACTTTTTTCTTTGTAGATGTGTTTCCTCTTCCCTTCCCTAATGTAACAAGATAAAATGTTACACAAGCCATTTTGTGTAAAGCCTGCTAAATGTTATTTCTAGGCCTGTGCGAAGCAGCAAGTATTTGCTTCAGATTTGGAGTTGGCTGATTCAGAGGGACAGTGATTCAATTCAGTGATTCAAATCACTGTCCCGATTTGATTCAGCTGATTTGAATTTAGAGATTTGGTGCTGATTCGGAGATTTGGCCATAGACTATGCAGGCAGTCTTTGATGACAAGGACACAGCTGCCTCCAGCTGGTAAGTCTGTTGTGGTGGGCAGAGGCGGGAGGGAAGAGGCGTGGGGGGGACAGATCAACACCCCCACAGGGAGGGAAGGATTGGGGCTGGGGCTGGGAGGGGGGCTGCCCAGCCAGGGTGGTGGGCTGCGGGACTCAGGGAGGGGGGCTTCTGGCACTGCACGCCACTGGTTCAGGAGATACTCTTCTGGTGGTTCCTGCAATGGCTCTTGCCACCAGTCCAGGAGGGCATGGGTGTGGGTGTGTGCCCCTGAATCTGTGCGGGGCGGGCTGGGCTGGGCTGTGCTCTGGGTGGCTAGCCCCAGCTGCAGCGCAAAGTGCAACCTAGCTCCACCTGCCCCACAGAGTGCAGTGGAGCAGGGGCTATGGAGGAGGGGGGGACTGCAACAACCCTAAAATTCCCCATAGCCCCTGCCACTGACCCATCTCTAATCCCGGTGCATGCATCCGCCCTCATGCCCTGCTGCTGCTTGCCTTGCTGAGGTGCAGTGGGGTGAAGCTGTAGCTTATCTAGGAGGGGTGGGGAGGCTGGAGTGGCTTTTGCTGTTGTGTGCCTGTAACAGGGGGGCCTTCTCAGGGATGATTTAACTGTGGCCCGCCCACCTGTTTCTGGGCTAACCACCCGCCTTCTTGCTTGCCATGCCTTGTTGGTAATTAATTAAATGATGTAATTAAGCAGGAAAATTAATTTGGGCTACAAGTCCCCACTGCTGGGCTGTGCTCCATGGGGTGGCTAGCCCCAGCCGCAATGCAGAGCACAGCCTGGCAGTGGGGCTTGTTGCCCGGAGCACAGCCCTGGCTCCGCCCACCCCATGGAGTGCAGCTTGGGGGCCGGCAACTGGGGCTAGCCTCTAGGAGCTCAGCCCTGGCTCCAGCAAGCCCCCACAGAGCACAGGCCAGCAGCAGGGGCTTGCCACCCACAGTGCAGCCCTGGCTCCACCCACCCTGCAGTGAAGCTCGGCGGTGGGCAGCTGGGGCTAGCTTCCCAGAGTGCAGCCCAGCCCAACCTGCCCCACACAGATCCGGGGGCACACACCCGTTCCCATGCCCTCCTGGACCAGCGGTGAGAGCCGCCAGAGGAACCACCAGAAGAGCAGCTCCTGGATTGGTGGCACATGGCACCACACGGCAGCACGCAGTGGTGGGAGCCCCCCTCACCAAGTCCCGTGTCCCTCCTACCCAGCTGGGCAGCTTGTCCCAGCCCCAGCCCCAATCCCACCCTCTCTGTGGGGGCATTGATCTGTCCCCCCACTCCACGTCCCTTCCTTCCCCTCTCCACCCACCACAACAGACTTACCAGCTGAGGCAGCTGTGTCCAGCATTGTTGAGGACTCCTGTATAGTCTATGGCTGAATTTCTGAATCTCTCCAAATCAATTCGGAAGCTTCCAATTCAATTCAAACCTTTTAATGGGTCTCCTGATTTGATTTGGAATCCGAGATTCAGCTGCCGAATCGGGCTCAATCTCCTACAAATCAAATTGGCTACTGAAACTCTACATAGTCCTAGTTATTTCTTCTTTATTACTCTCTCTCTACCTGGGAATGTGTTAACTTTGTTCTCTATGTAACAGATTAATAGACAACCTTTGGAGAGTTTCAAGTCAGGAAACAAAGAAGCTGGGGTTGTGTTTGGATCTCTACCTATATACAGAGTGAGTACATGCAAAAATGCTTTTCATGCTTAGTTTCATAGTAGCTTCATGCAGTGCCATTTGTATAGTGAAAATCATTGACATTAGAAAATTTTGTTGACTTTCTAAACTGTTTGACTCTCAATTTAATTTTTTGACTTGGCTTGAATTACTCTCTATCCATCTCCATTCTCTGCTCTGTGGTAACTAGCTTGATAACAGTGCACTTTCTGGGAAGATGGATTGATAGTATGCACCACAAGGTGAGTCTTTCAGCTTTCTACTTCTATTAAAGCTCATGCCTTTAAATTTGTGTTAAGCCACTTTTCTCCCAGCCAGCCCAGTGAACCATGCCTCAGTCTGCACAAGGTCTGGGCGTGAGGGGCCAGATCCAGTTTGGTAGAATTTAAGCAGCCTAGCTACAAACAGTGATACGGACTGGTCCTGCTCCAGCTGCCACAAAACCTCTTAGGTGTCTGTTCAGTGCCTCAATTCCAGACTAAACCATTCCCTGAGTATGAATACTTTGCCTCCTAAACTCTGCCTAACTCCACGGAGGGGCCCAGTCTGTTCTTTGTGCAAACCTAGGACACACCAAGTACTTTGAGTATGGTGCAAAGTGTAGTAACCATGGTCACTTTCATTCAAAAACATGGCCAGAGATGAAGGTGATGGTTGTGCATAAGTACATGGTTAAAGCACTTGCCCAGGTGTTTGGAGAACTGGACTATAGACTTAAGTACAGATGTTCAAAAAGTCCCTGGCAGCAGAAATCTATTGTGCTTTACTTAAAGTGCTATAAATTAGAGCATGAGAAACCAAATAGACATTCTCTGTTTGGTATGGGGTGCTCAGAGCTTGCCTGCACTGGCCACTGGGGGAGCTCCCGCATGAGTGGCCCCATGTCCCTGCCCCCCTATCCCCACCAGCTGGCAACTGTAAGCAGCAGCTGAAGAAGGAAAAACCCCAGACACTTTCCCCCACAGTCCCCCTGGCAAGGCAGCAGCATGCCATGGGGCTGGGGCTGCTGTGGGAAAAGAGACCCCATACCCCTTCCCCCCTGGCCGAGCGGCCCTCCCAGCCAGCTCAGGGGGTCTGTGGGGGAAAGGGAGCCAGGGTCTCTCTCCCCACAGCAGCACCGGCCCCACAAAACACTGCTGCCTGGCTGAGTGGACTGCAGGGAAAGGGGTCTGGGCTCTGTACTTTAAAGAAGCCTTACTGAGAGTGCAAGAACAAACAAACCATTGTGACATGCAGGAAGACAAGCAGGTATGGCAGAAGACCAGCTTGGCTTAGCAGGGAACTCTTCCGGAAGCTAAATCGCAAAAAGGAAGCTTATAAGAAATGGAAACTTGGACAAACAACTAGGGAGAAGTATAAGAGTATTGCTTGGGTATGCAGGGATGAAGTCAGGAAAGCCAAAGCGGAATTGGAGTTGCAGCTAGCAAGGGATGTGAGGGTAACAAGAAGGATTCCTACAAGTATGTCAGTAACAGAAGGAAGATTAGGGAAAGTGTGGGTCTTTTACTGAATGGGGGAGACAACCTAGTAGTAGATATGCTGGAGGGTAGTGCTAGGATTCAGAGTGACAAATTGGAGGATTGTGCCAAAAGGAATCTCATGAGGCTCAACAAGGACAAATGCAAAGTCCTGCACTTAGGATAGAAGAATCATGCACCACTACAGGCTGGGGGCTGACTGGCTGAGCAGCAGCTCTGCAGAAAGGACCTTTGGGTTTCAGCGGACAGTAAGCTGAATATAACCCAACAATGTGCCCTTGTTACCAAAAAGGCTAATGGCATACTGGTCTGCATTGGTAGGAGTGTTCCTAGCAGGTCCAGGGAAGTGATTATTTCCCCTCTATTCCACATCTGGAAGGCCACATTTGGAGTACTGTGTTCAGTTTTGGGCCCCCCACTACAGAAAGGATGTGGACAAGTTGGAGAGAGTCCAGTGGAGGACAGTTAAAATGGTGAGGGGGCTGGGGCACATAATTAATGAGGAGAGACTGAGAGAACTGAGAGTATTTAGTCTGGAGAAGAGAAGACAGAGTGGTGATTTAATAACAGCCTTCAACTACCTGAAGGGTGGTTCCAAAGAGGATGGAGCTAGACTGTTCTCAGTGGTGGCAGATAACAGAAAAAGGAACAATAGTCTCAAGTTGCAGCAAGGGAAGTTTAGGTTAGATATTAGGAAGAATTTTCTCACTAGGAGGGTAGTAAAACACTGGAACAGGTTACCCAGAGAGGTGGTGGAAGCTCCATCCTTGGAGGTTTTCAAAACCAGATTAGACAAAGCTTTGGCTGGGCTGATTTAGTTGGGGATAGTCCTACTTTGAGCAGGGGTTGGAATTCAATTCTTGCTTTTTCAGAGGAAGAGAAAACTAAGTTCACAGGGTCTGATTCTGAACTTACACATGGGTAAATTAGGAACAAGTGAACTGAAGACAAGGAAGTTCCACCTGATTTAGAGGAGTGTGAAATCCAAATGAGACTGTATTGTTTCAGTGAGATAGGCATATGGCAAATGATTTGTTACATTGACTGTTGCTAATGTATATCAAAATGGTATGTTCATCCAGAGAAATTCATTAACTTTTCAGTTTTTTCCTCAATTTATTTTTAAAGGTCATCAGTTCAGCAAAGCTAAGAAATTTTCCCCCACTGTGTTCAGACCCAAACCGAGAGTCTGTGGGGAGCATTGTCAAAAGGCATAAGCGTCCTGCAATTTGTGAAGTGAGTAGACTTGCAATTTCTTCAAGCTAGTTTATTTGATTGTTCCTACACTTACCAATATTTCTTTCTATTTGGTTACCCCACATACAAAATTAGCAAATCTTTAAGAAAACTAGGATTTGCCTACTAAAAATAATACCAGTGTGAAGCCCTGTGCTCCAATACAAAATTAAAATACAGTAAAAGTATTTTCTATCTGAGGTATTATAGGGCTCCATCACTGTACCAATCAGTCTTCAATGTATTTATCCTCACAGCACCTCTCTGAAAAGTGCTATTCTACTCCCTTGCCCCATCTTTATAGACAAGGAATTGAGGCTCAAGAAGGACAAGGACCTGATCTCACATGGCCAAATACAGTGCTATGCAAAAACCCCACCACTGGTTCTAGATGAGTTTATGCTTAGGTTTTGAACTCTGGACTGGCATTTTAATATAACAACACAAAGGTACCATAGATGGTTTGTGTGTAAATTAGATAGAAAATTAAGCTGACTTTATGCTGAAATTAGCATCATGACATATCTCAGAAAGTATAACATAAATCAAAAGAAACTTTAATTCTTACTAGTTTCCTCTTCACTATTGGTCAAAGTAGGGAGAAGGTCCAAAAAGTAATTTTATAAAGACTTTTTTCTCTGATGATTTTCTAAAAGGCAATACATTCAGTAGACTGGATTGCTAGGTAGAGTTCATGCTGTGCTTACATTAGCAGAATTAGCTAATGTTCTACTTGTTTTTCACAGCAATCATGTTCTTCGGTAAGAAAAACTGAAAAATGGACTGTGACCCCTGGGGAAAGTCTGGCTCAATCCTTTCCTTCAACCAACCCTTCCTAAAGCATGAGATTGTAGGAACTGCTGTTCCTGTAATCAAAAATAAAACTCTGGCACCAAGGGAAAATGGATATATTTAAAGAAATTGTCACCAACAAGCAAGCAGGCTAAACCTCAATACTGACATTGTATCATTTCACATATCAGTAGCTCTCTTAGCTAGGATAACTGCCATTCTCCATCCCAGAAGATGTGGAAGATGCTCACGAGACTTCACAGCACATATCATCTAAGGCACACTCACCTCCTAAAACTGCACAGTATGACCAGAAATAGTTCATTGTTCTCATGACACAGGATATTTGCAAACAATTGACAGCTGTGGCTTTTCTGGTTTTTAAGTGCATGTATTTCTAAATGTTTTACATTATTCTAAATTTATCATGATAGTTGCTTGAGTCCCCAAGCCCATTGCCTAGACAGTGTAAAAATAAGAAAAAATGTGGTCCCTGCCTTAAAGTGCTGAGAACCTACAGGATGAGACAACTGGATACAACTAACAGCCAAAGGAAAGATAAGATTAAAAGCCAGAGAACTGTGCCTGTATAGGGTTGAGGGGTCAGGCAGTGACTGTATGCATGTGCACTTATGTACACATGCACGTATTTTTGCAGTGTTCAAACCTATAGTAACAGGAAATCTGATTTCTTGCCATGAATATGATTCCATAGTGCTTACTTAATCAAAATTCCCTCTGACTTCAGTAGAAGTTTCACCTAAGTTAAGATGGTAGGCATGGGAACCCAAAGCTCACAAGATATGACAGCAGAAATAGACTCACTTTGCTCCTCTGCAAACTTGGAAATGCAGTGCAGTCTTGTGTTGGTTCTTTCATCCTAAAGTTACTGGGGAAGATTAGGAAAGGGTTAGTAAGGGGAGAAGGATTAAAAAACCAATGGAAGGAAGGGCATAGCAGATGAAAAGTAAAAGGAAACAAGATAATTTGAGGGCAAACAAAGATAAACAGCATCAAGAAAAATGCTGTATGAAGGAATAGAAAGAGAAGTGAGAACAAATACAGAAATGCATTGGGAATCTCAAGAGGAATCTTTTTTTTCTATGGTGTGTCATAGTAGGCTTCATGGTAATATGGTACCATAGACTATATAATGTCCATATACTGATATCACACTAATGTAAAGTATCTTATGCCTTGTGCTGTCAAAAAAGTAAATTGAGCTAAGACAGTTATACAGAGAAATATTTAAGGATTAGTTATTAAAATAACCAGTCACCCCATCAAGTAAGCCGCTTATTGTCTTCCATGCATTAATCCTGATAACAACACTATCCAGTACAGACATGCTTTTTTATTTATGGTGACATTTACCACTGAGAAATGAGGCACAAGGTACAAAGGACTAGATCTACAAAAGGACTTATGCATCAAAATGCTCAGTGTTAGAGTTCCTGAAGCATCCTTGAAGACCACCCTTGTTGCCATCCCTAGAAGATACAACTTTGATTCCCAGTTCCATGTACAATGCATGGGGGGCTGAAGCAAACTGAAAATGGATTTTGCAAAAGCTGCTACACCTAAGCTGCCATCTCTTTTAGCTAAAGGAAATGCTGAAGAGAAGATGATGTCTGAATGGCTTGGATCCTACCTACTTAAGGGACCACATCCTCCTTTATGCTTCTCTGTGATCCCTATGGTCAGATGAGAGCAACCTTGGGCAAGTTCCATCTGTGCATGTGAGGTCATTCTCTGAATTCACTCCTTAATTTTGGAACTCTCTCCTCCTGGAAGCCCACCAAAGCTTGAGCCTGGACATCTTCCAGT